GTGCACTATATCAGTGCACCACCGGGCCGGCCCTTAATTATTTATCTCTTAAAGCACAGCCATTCAATCTCTTAGCCACCAATCCAGTTTCTCAGGGAGGAACCTCAGGTAGAAGGAGGCTAAATAATTTGCCTAGAACCCCAGATATCCCAGCAAGCAGCAAGGAGAACGGAACTAAAATTTCAAAGTCTTTAAATAATACCTTTCTCGAGTTATTTTTAACCACACACTCTCTGAGTTTCCAGACTCTCAATGAACCCTGCAACAGACCTGGGGTGGAAGTGCTGAAAAGCTCCCCCAAGTGTCTCATCTCTCATGCACGTCCTTCATTGTGAATTTTGAGCTTGGAAGCTGGAGCATACTTTGGTTATGTTTGAGTCTTGCTTCTCTGCCAAAGTGACACACAGGCAGAGCAACTGGGCTAACGGAGTCTGTCTGTGAGGCGTGAGGGAGAAGGAACACTAGGTCTGCAATTTGGAAAAGCTGCCAGCAGATGGGCAGCTCCTCATGGGGCTGGAGGTGCTGGCCAGCCCAGGTGCCTCTCTAGGTCCAGATTCGATAAAAAGCACAGGACAGGTGGTGGTGAGATGTGAACTTGGAGGAATCTGGGGCCTAGTAAGTGATTATGTTATTATTATTATTTTTTAATTGAAACATAATTGATTTTTGATTTTATACATATTTGTGGGGTACAGAGCTGACAAACAGTATCTGTGTACAACATGTGATGATCAAATCAGGATAATTAGCATATTTGTCATTACAAAATGTACTCATGGGTTAATGGACACTAAGCGATTATTTTAAAACCTACCTCACTAACAACATGGGTAGCCACCGAGCAATAATTTCTGTGATACAAAATATTGTTTTGCATATAAATGGAAGGATCACCTTCCCAATCTTAAGAGTCTAAAACAACACTTACTTTTTTACAATTTTGTTGCGCTTGGCTTGTGAGAAGGTTTCAAGCTGAAGGGACTCATGGGTGAGAAATGCTACCGCCAAATGGAAGTAGTTGTTCCAGAGCTGTTCAAAATTAATTGTGTGGGCAAAAAGAGATGGAAAATAACATTAATAAGGGTTATAATAAAACAGTACCACATGGTAGAAAGTCACTAACCAGGGATTAATGAAAAACAAAATAAACTCACGAGACTTCTTTATCTTTCTTGGGTTTCAATTATTCAGTCCTGAACGTTTTGAGACTTAATATTAAGCTTTTAAAAAAAATCCAAACTATTAAGTATTTATTTACTCCTGGGATCAAAGAAGAGTGCTGCTAAGAAGTATACCTATTT